GGATTACAGGCATGAGCCACCATGCTGGGCTTATTTCCTTTTTCCTTTTTAATCCTAACCACTAGACCACCAGGGATGCAAGAGGATTCAACCAGAAGCATGGCATGATCAGATTTGTATTTGAGGAAACTCACTAGGACTGAGACATGGGGAGGATGGACCAGAGGGAGAATAGTCAGGCACCAGAGGAACAGCCAGTAGACTGGCCCCGTATCAGCATCCCCAGGCAAGTGATGCAATGGAGGGGTGGGCTGAGGAGAGATCATGGGAGGGAAAGTCAAGAGTCTGGGGACCTGAAACTAGTGTGGAATTGCTGCAGTGGCAGTGGTCCCTGGCATGAGGGACCATGAAACCAGCAGTAGGCACAGAGAAAGAAAGAATGTGCCTGGGCAGCAAAGGGGAAACCAGCTGCCTGGCTGGGATGCAGCCCATCCCCACTGGACCAAACCCAGGTACTTGTCGGTCCTGGGAAGATAGGTACTTCCCTAAAGGAGGCTAGGGAGAGACGAGATCTTTATTTTTCATTGCAAATCACATTTTCAGGGTAGCACTTTCATATGGCTCAGAACCCAAAAAGGCATAGGTGCACAATGAAAATCTCCCTCCCATCCCTGCCCATTACTGCTGAGTTCCTGGTCCCCAACCCAGAGGCAGCCAGTGCTGCCATATTCCTGGGTGGCCACAGAGGGCCCATGCCTGCATGAGCAAACATCTAAGCATATTCAGAGAAGCGATTTGACTACATGCACATCTGGCTTCTCTTTCTCCAGCTGAAGGGTGGTAATTGTCTGATTTCTGAGGCCTGGCCCTTTTGTCCCACTTCTAAGAGGACCTAGAGACCCCACCCTATCCCAGGCCCTGATGCAGCTGCTCCCATCACCAGAAACTTCCCCACCAGTAAAAAGAGAGTGTGTGGGATGGCTTAAGCAATAGAGAATAATGGCCACAAAGAAATAGCATGAATGTCAAAAGAGATCAGCCTAGGTGGCCTGGCCCAGCCCTGGTCTCTTTCGTGGAAGTGAACTCACATCATGGCTGTGACATGCATGTCACACAAAAGTGATTCCTTTTTCTAGAGAAACTGACCAAGGGTTAGAATGTCAAAATGAGTCTGACTGTGGAGACTCAGTCCCCAGGGTATCCCCATGGATGTGTGCTCTGACCAGTCAGTCTGCACTAAACTGGAAGGTGACGGAGGCAGATGCTGGACCAAGGGATCTGAGATTCCGGCTAAGAGCAAAGTCAACTCCTGAAGGCCCTTTTGGGCCCATGAATGGAAGAGGAGCTCCCTGGTAGGCAAAGAAAGTGGTGAGACAGCCAGGCACAGTGGCTCACACCTGTAATCCTAGCACTTTGGGAGCCAGAGGCGAGAGGATTGCCTAAACTCAGGGGTTTGAGACCAGCCTGGGAAACTTGGCAAGACCTTGTCTCTACAATAAATAAAAAAATTCCGTGAGCGTGGTGGCCAGCGCCTGTAGTTCCACTTGGAAGGCTGAGGCTGAAGGATCACCTGAGCCCAACCGGTCGAGGATGCGGTTGCTGTGAGCATGCCACCGCACTCCAGCCTGGGCAACAGAGTGAGACTTCATCTCAAAACAACAAAAAAAGAAAGGGGTGAGGTAGCCGGGCTTGGTGGCTCAGCCTGTAATCCCAGTACTTTGGGAGGCTGAGGTGAATGAATTGCCTGAGCCCGCGGGTTCGAGACCCGCCTGGGCAACTTGGCGAGACCTCATCTCTACAATAAAATAAAAAATTAGCCGGGTGTGGTAGTACATGCCTGTAGTTCCAGCTACTTGGAAGGCTGAGGTGGAAGGATTGCTGGAGCCCAGCAGGTCGAGGCTGCGGTGGCCAGGAGCATGCCACTGCACTCCAGTCTGGGTGACAGTGAGACTGTAACTCAAAAAAAAGGGGGGGTGAGGTAACACGAGGGACAGTGAGGTGGGGATTCAGGTACAGGGAATGAATGATGAGCATGCACCAGGGCCCCACAGGAACTGGAGCCCAAGGGACAAACCAAGACAAGGTGGTAGGGCCCAGAGTTGCCCTTCTTCCTTCATCATTCTGGCTCCTTCCCACCCACAACACTCAAAGGCCTTGACACCGTCTCTGTGAGGCATCACATGAGGCATCTCATTTCTTAAGCTTTTGGCCTCCTCATCCCTGGGGCTACCCCCCACCATGACCTCAGGACATTTGCCAAAGTCCCTTCTCCATCACCTGCAGTCCCTGGTCATCCCCACTGAGCTGGTCCATCCCCTCCTCCCTGGGCCCCTCTGCTTACACCTTCTCAGGCTTCCCATCCTTTCACTACTCCTCTTGACTCCACAGCCCTTGTAACATGCCTATACCTTCTGGCCCCTTCACTCGAATATCCTCCCTAGCCTTCAACTCCCAGTCAGCTGGTGCCTTTTACAGCTTGCTCTGTGTCCACACCTGAGCAGGATGGGATGGGTGGGTACAGGCACACCTCATAAGACAATGATCCAGTTCCCAACATGATTCCAGTTCTAGTCATGAAACAATTATACAATTATGGCGAGACCATGGGTGGGGACTCAAAGGAGCAGAAGGATCACCACAATCAGGTTCCTCCACAGGCTGGGCATGACCCTGTTCCATTCCAGTTTCACCTTCCTGAGGATGCTACACATTCTTGTCCCTCCGTCAAAGGTCACCTCTATCTCAGCTCCTGCCTGCAGGCAAGGGGCATCCTTGCCCATCTGTGTCTATCCTGAGTCCCTGCCTGATACTCCTTCATGCCCCCTCTACATATCCATTGGTGCCCCTACCCGGGGATCATCCCTAAGCCTCATGGCCCCCAGTTTGAGCAGTAGAGGAGGCAGGATTCCCCCCAGGACTGAGCAGGGCTAAGGAGGTGCACAGGCTGGAACTTCTGCCATGCAATATCAAAGACAAACAGCCAGATATGGGTTAAGGCAGTAAAAACAGGCTTTATTCAGTAACTACTGACAGCAGGAGAAGGAGCTGAACTCCATTCTGGTTTGTCCACAAATTATTTGGGCATTTTGAGGAGAGGAGTGAGGGAGTGAGAAGGGGTTGATAGAGTCAGAGTAAATGGGTTGAGACCAGTTGTTTCATTAGCTGGCAGTTCTAAAAGGGTTCTGTCCTCCACAGAGACTGGGGGCAGGTCTTAGAGTTCTTGATGACTACATTTCAAAGGAAGGAACTGCCGCTTCGAGTTGCAAGAGATACAACATATTTACAATTGTAAGCTCTTTTAGTAAGTGCTCTGAGAGAGGGAGGTTAGTGGTCTGGTATCAGGTGTTGGCTAGAACAAATAATAAATCCTCCTGGGCACATTGTGCTTTCGCAAACAGGCATTTTAAGGGGGGCTGGGGTCATTCCAGAGGTCATGGTTTGGTCAAGTCTCTTGGTGATTTGGACAAAGTTGCTCTGTGCTGAGAGTTCTTCAATTCTCAGTGGGATGCGCTGCCAGCTGTCCTTATTAATGGGGAGTTTGGTGGAGATAGGAACACTTCCTTACACCCTTGGAAATAGAGAAGCCTGCGAGGAATGCTGGGAAGGAGGGAGAGGTAGGAAGTGGGGTCAGTTTTCTGCAATTTCTGTTAGCAAGTACCAACACATATGCCCTTAGCGAGTGAGAAGGTCTTGGCTATCCTCTCACTGCAGAGGTGATTCCATAAGAGACAAGCAAAGCCTGAGCATGCCTAGAGGGACTCGTGCAAGAAGGAGCACAGGTGACTCAGCTTTGGCCTTTCACTGTCAATTTAACACTGCAAGAGACCCGTGTGCTTATAGGGGCTCAGAGAATTTAGGTTTATTGGCACCTGCAATGCCCAAAGCACTCTACCTAGGTCTTACTTAAACTTTTAAACTGCCACATGAAGTAAGTACTCTCCTACAGCCGAGGAAACTGAAGCTCAGAAAAGTGGTGTGACTTGTTCAGGATTGCAAGACTTTACAGCGAAAGAGTCGATTCAACCAATCTGTGCCACCTCTCTCACTTACATCATGCTGCCTATGCTGCCTGGTTTTTTGTTTGGTTTTAGTTGTGGAGTTCTTTTATTTTTGGCAGAGGAAGGGTTGTGGACTTCTCAAAATAGTGAATGCATGTTTGACAGAAGGGTTTCAAGGGACTGAACCCCAACAGTTCCTGGGGCATCTCACTGCCAGTTCTGTTCGTGGACAAGGCTAGGGGCCTGAGCTCCACTTCCTTCAAAATATTTGCACCATCAGCTTGGAAAGGCGAGGAAATAAATATTTTAAAGAGGCTTAGTAGAGAATAAGGTTATGTTTCATCACTTAATAAAGGGGCAGGGGCCAAGGAAGAAGACAAAGATAATAAAACTAAATCCCCACATCCTAGTGACCCCCGAAAGTTTTCTTGCCTGTCCTAGATTTTATGTTCCTGAACTAACACCTGAAATTGCTCTCTACCTCGTTCGCCAGTCTCGGGATCCTCTTTCAGCTCGAACAGCGCGCGCCGGAAATACCCCAGAGCTTAGGGGCTCAGGTGGGAGCGCTCATCTGAGTCGGCCGGGGTCGCCGCTCGCAGCCTGCTGAGGGGCACCCTGAGCCCTTGGTCCCGCGCCCGTCAGCCACCAGCTAGGAACCGAAGCCCCATCGTATGCGGGAGCGCGGCCCCAACCCCACGTGTGCTTCGGGACCTCTCCGACTGCAAAAACTTCCTGAGCAGCAGATTGACCCCCAAAGTCGTCAGGTGGGCACAGGTCCACACAGAGTTTTAAAAGTCCGCCGCGCTTCCGGCGCAGAGGTTACGTCATAGTTCCGCGACGAGCCCAGCCAGACAGGTTGGTGTGTCTCCCAAATCGCTCCGCCCTTATTTACCAGTCGGAACTTCGACCCAGGAACCCGCCCCCTCTGCCCCAGCCCAGAACCGCCTACGGTCCTAGGAGGCCATCCTTGAGCCCTGCCTTGCAAGTCGCCAGCTCAACGCAGGCCAGAACCCGGACTTCTACCCTAGCCCTGTAATCTGCCCCAGACGTAGTCACTTCTGTTCCTGCGGCCGGAACAAAGTTCCCGGACTAGAGGTGTGGCGAGCTAAGCGGCCCGAGGACCCCAGAGGCAGCACAGGAGGCAGGTAAGGTGCGCAAACGCCTCCCACTTGGGCCTCAGGGTCTCCGGGCTTCGCTCACACCCCCCCGACCCGTAAGCCACGACCCTGGCTGGGCCAGATGATGACAGGCCGGGGCCCTGAGCTCCAGGAGGCCAGGACTTGACTTGCACTCCCCGCGAGAGTCTGCAGAGCCAGATTCCCCCACCCAGGCAGCCCCGTGCAGAGAGTCGCACTAAGTATCCACTCCACCAAGGACCCTTTCACTCACTGGTCCTCCGTGAAGGGACAAACTGCCTTGCCCTGGTCTCTGCACTCAATTGTCCCCTTTTGAAACTTCTTTCTTCTCAAAGGATTCGGAAACCTTGGCTCCCCCTCTTATCTATCCCTAGTGGGGTCCTCCACTCCACACAAAATCTGCAGACTTCCCTCAGAGCAAGTCTTTGCTTCCACAGGCTCTCCCCCTTTATCTGTGAGTCATGGCAGCTCCCATGAAGGGCCAAGTGTGTGTAGTGACTGGTGCCTCCAGAGGTATTGGCCGTGGCATCGCCTTGCAGCTCTGCCGAGCAGGTGCCACAGTTTACATCACTGGCCGCCATCTGGACACCCTTCAGGACACTGCTAAGGAGGTGAGTGCTTCCTCCAGCACCACAGCTGGGGACACTACCTGAGGGAGCCCTTCCATTTAACCACCCCCTTTCCTGATCCTTACCTGAAACCATAATATTACTCAGCAAGATGTATTTACCTAAGGTAGAATATATAAGCTCCATAAATAACTTCAGGTAAGGTCGAATTTCGGCATCAAATGAGTTTTATGAAAAAAACTTTGTGTTTGAGAGTTTCAGAGATTTTGCAATTGCAACTAAAGGTTTGTGGACCTGTGCTTTCCTCTATTTTAGGCAAGACTTTATTCAGCTGTATATTTTAATTTGCATTTTTGACTGGATTTAATTAAATATTTGAGTCTCCATAATTTGCCTGGCACTATGTGAAGCACTGGGGTTACCAAGACTAATAAGATATAATTTCAGCTTTTAAAAAATGGAGTTCAACTAGGTGTGGTGGCTAACGCCTATAATCCCATCACTTTGGGAGGTGGAGGCAAGAGGATTGCCTGAGCCCAGAGTTTGATACCAGCCTGGACAACTTGGCAAGACCTCGTCTCTACAATAAATCAAAAAAATTAGCTAGGCGTGGTGGCACATGCCTGTTTTTCCAGCTATTTGGAAGGCTGAAGTGGAAGGATCACCTGAGCCCAGCAGATCCAGGCTGCAATGGCCATGAATGTGCCACTGCACTCCAGCCTGGGCAACAGAGTGAGACTCCGACTCAAAAAGAAAAAAGATAGAGTCCAAAGGAAGTAAGGATCAGAAACCAATTATTTCAATATAATGTGAATATAGTAAATTCTAAGGGGAAGATATGCAAACAATGCTCTAGAAATATGGAAGGGGCCAGGCCCCTAGAAGCAGAGTGTGGTTAGGAGAGTGGCTTGGGAAAGCCTTCTCATAGAGGTAGTTCTTGAACTGAGTCTTGAAAGATGTGTGCGAAAGGAAGTTAGGGGAAGCATTTCAGTAGAGGGAGCTATACATGAGCAGAGAGGGACAGTGGGGAGAGAGAGAGGATGTTGTGAGGCAAAGTGAGGGAGAAGTGGTGAGTGAGAGGCTGGAGAGGAAAGAGTCTTGGAAGACCATAGTAGATACTTAGGTTTTATTCTCAGAATTGGTGATCCAAGAGAACATTTTAAACAGCTTTGTGTTTTAGATAGTTCGTACTGGCTGGACCATAAGGAGTAAATTCGAGACAGAAAGACTGGAGATCGAGTGAGTAGTTAAGGAGGCACCACAGTAGTTCAGGCAAGGGGCGGTGGGCAATAGGGTGGGACTCAGAGCATGGATTTGAAGAAGAGGAAGATTGTTCTTGGATAAGGTACTCTTCTTCCTCTATCTTTGGAGAATGGGGCACATTTGTAGACAGCAAGACAGTACAGGAAGTAGAAAGAGTTCATCCCTAATAGTTTGGATTACCAGCAGTAGCAACGATGGAGTGGAGTAAGAGGGCTGGGATTGAGTAGGGGGTTCCAGGTGAGTGGTGAAGGGCATGACTTGGAAATAACCAAGGAAAAGGATAGCTGCTATGTCTCAAGAGCAAACTCCATGCCTTCCTTGTTCTTACCCTCTACTTGCAGGGTACAATCCCCTGCACATGATAGACCTCAGTAAATCCTTGTATATTATTAAACCTGAGATCCTAATTCACCTGATGGGCAGGACTATCGTTCCTGAAAGTCCTCAAAACACACACCAGAGGGCAGTATTGCCTGCCCACTGGCCTCAGATGCTGGCTTTCTTATGATTGCCTTCTCAGTTCTCAGGCCTTCTTTGCTTGGGGGAGTTGTGTTGTGTCTCAGCTTGTGTGTGACTATCTCCTGTCCCTCTCAGGCACAATCTCTTGGAGGCCGATGTGTGCCCGTGGTGTGTGATTCAAGCCAGGAGAGTCAAGTACAAAGGCTGTTTGAGCAAGTGGATCGGGAACAGCATGGGCGCCTGGATGTGTTGGTCAACAATGCTTATGCTGGGGTCCAGGTACCCTTTGAAATTTCCTCACCTCCTTCTCTAACCCTTAGTTCTCATGCCTACTCATTGCCTCTTCTGGCTACCCAACCTCTCACACCTTCCTGCCTTCAGATCATCCAATCAATTGTCCTCTCTATACCTTCCAGGCGATCCTGAACAACAAGGAAAAGGCATTCTGGGAAGTCCCCGCCTCCATATGGGATGATATGAACAATGTTGGACTCAGGTGAGTGCTCCCCTTACCCCACTACCAGGGCCCAGACTCGGTCATTTAGTCAGCTCCACAGCCTGGGCCCTTCCCCATATGCCCTCTCCTTTTCCTTCTGGTCTTGCTCATCTGTTTTTTTTCCCTCCTGTTCCATTTATCTCGATTATCTCAGAATAAGTGCCGCTCAGGTGAGTCTGTACCTAGGAATCAACTTTTGCCTCGTACTGTCAGTAATTTTCATTTGAACAAGCCCTTGGCCTTTCTCCTGCCTCACTCTGCCCATCCAATTGCAAGACCCAGAGGGAGCTGCCTCCTCTCTGGAAGGCACATAGCCTTTAGTATATTTTTTTGAAAATAGTTAGATGGAGAAATTGTTTTGTTTTACGTCAAGAGAAGGTTAATAAAAAAGAAAAGCACCAGTCCTCTTTAGCCTCCACACTCTCACTCTAGATCCACAGACAAGGTCACTCCCAGGTCAGAGTTGGAAGAGCAGAGTTCTCACAAGGTCACACATATCTCTGGCACAGGAGTGAGATGTAACACAGTATTTGGAATTATCCCAGCATAATAGGCACTGGTAATGTCTTTTTTTTTTGTTACTGTTGGAATAATGTTACCCTCTCATATAATTAAACTACACTTTGCGGATGTGATCTGCCACCTGTGAGAGTAACCCAGGATATTGTCTGCAATCCCATGACTGATACATATAAGAATACCTATTATTCCAATTTCAGTACCCTGTCGACAATCCCAAGCAGCAGGATTAGAATGCTGTTGTAAATTCCAAAGTGGAAGGGGAAGGAAGATTGTGAAGATGGAGGGGAATGATCAGCCCAAAAGCAAGAAAGTAAAACCCTTGGAGCTAGAAACTGGTCATGCCCACCTCCATAGCTCTCCAAAGAGAGGTGCCCTCCACACCCTCATCTCTTGCAGCTGAGGTTTGAAACCCAAAGTAGAGGCTTGAGACAGAAGTTCAGACCCCAGACCCTGAGCCCTCATGAATTCTCCAAGGTAAAGGCCACTTTGTGAGCCCCAGGCAGCCCACTAGCAACTCTTCCTACCCACCCACCCCCCTGTACTTTTACTGCCTTTCCTGTACATCACTTTTTCACTGAAACTGTAACTCTACTTCTTTTCATTTGATGGGTCCTAACTGTTCCCCATGCAAAAGATACATGTGTATTTTTGTTAATTGTAGAAAAATGTGAAGACCAGTATAATCTTATTCTCCTCACTGCCCTCCCTTCCTTCCTTATTCTATTATGTAGCTACAGTTAGTAGCCTGGTATATATTCTTTCAGATTTTTCACGTAAATATCTCCCATTCTTTTTTTTTCCTTGAGTTGGAGTCTCACTCTGTTGCCCAGACTGGAGTGCAGTGGCCGCTCCCGGCCACCGCAGCCTCGACCTGCTGGGCTCCAGCAATCCCTCCACCTCAGCCTTCCAAGTAGCTAGAACTACAGGTGCATGCTACCACGCCCGGCTAATTTTTGATTTATTGTAGAGATGAGGTCTCGCCAAGTTGCCTGGGTGGGTCTCAAACCCGTGGGCTCAGGCAATTCCCTCACCTCAGCCTCCCAAAGCGCTGGGATTACAGGCTGAGCCACCGAGTCTGACTTTTTTTTTTTTAATTGGAGTCTCTCTCCGACGCCCAGGCTGGAGTGCAGTGGCACACTCACAGATACCCCAGCATCGACCTATTGGGCTCAGGCAATCCTTCTGCCTCAGCCCTCCAAGTAACCAGAAATACAGACGCATGCTACCAGGCCCAGCTAATTTTTTGGTTTATTGTAGAGATGAGGTCTCGCCAAGTTGTCCAGGCCATTCTCAAACCCGTGGACTCAAGCAATCCCCTCACCTCGGCTTCCTAAAGTGCTGGGATTACAGGCTTGAGTCACTGCGGCCGGCCAATATCTCTTATTCTTTTTAATACTACCAAAATCTTCAGTTGTGATGAGATACAATAATTTACATACCTTTTTCCTTTTTTGTTAAAGCAGAATAATTACTGGGTCACAAAATATGTACTTAAAGATATAATAAACATTATCAAACTGTACTTCTTAAAGATGTAATAAATATTATCAAACTGTCCTCCTAAAAGACCCCACCAATTTTTAATCTCAATGTAATGAAGAGGAATATCTATTTCCCCATGTTTCCAACCATACCAGAGAGTATCAAGCCATGTAGGCAGGCAAACTTTGCCACTCTGATATGCACAAGATATACAAAGATGGTTTTATTTTTTATTTTTTTGAGTTGGAGTCTCACTCTGTCACCTGGGCTGGAGTGCAGTGGCACGCTCACAGTTACTGCAGCCTTGACCTGCTGGATTCAGGCAATCCTTCCACTTCAGCCTTTCAAGTAGCAGGAACTACAGGTGTGCACCACCATGCCCAGCTAATTATTTTTGATTTGTTATAGAGACGAGGTCTTGCCAAGTTGCCCAGACTGGTCTCAAACCCCTGGATTCAGGCAATTCTCTCGCCTCCACCTCCCAAAGTGTTAGAATTACAGGAGTGAGCCACCGCACCTGTCTCAAAGGTGGTTTTAATTCATACTTCTTTAATTGTTTGTGAGGTTGAGCTTCTTTTCCTTTGTTTATTGGCTGTTTATTCTTTTGTGAATTGTCTTTGTGTTTTTAAGTTATTCTTTTCACATCAATTTACAAGCGATCTTTGTAGAACAGATGTCTTTGGTATATGTTTTACAAATACTTTCCCCAATTTATCACTCATTTTTCTTTTCTTTTTTTTTTTTGAGTCAGAGTCTCACTCTGTTGCCCAGCCTGGAGTGCAGTGATTGAGACATAACTCAAATTGACTGAGTCAATGGGTTAATTTATGTAGAACTACGTTTTATATGTCAGTTCTCCTTACCTTTGAATGATTTTGTCTGTAATTGTTCTTTTATAGTCTTCCCATGTACACTCTATATATTTCTTTCTTTTTTTTTTTGAGTTGGAGTCTCACTCTGTTGCCCAGACTGGAGTGCAGTGGCCTCTCCCAGCCACCGCAGCCTCTACCTGCTGGTCTCTGGCGATCCTTCTGCCTCAGCCTTCCGAGTAACCGAAATTACAGGCATGCGCTACCACGCCCGGCTGATTGTTTTATTTATTGTAGAGATGAGGTCTCGCTGCCCAGGCAGGTCTCGAACCCACGGGCTCAGGCAATCCACTCACCTCAGCCTCCCAAAGGCGTGGGATTACAGGCTGAGCCACCAAGCCCGGCTTATATATTTCTTAGGTTTGTTTTCTCCCTGAACTATTTCATTGTAATTGCTATTGTGACAGAGCTCTTTTCTTCCATTACATCTTCTAAAAATTGCTATTCCTCATCTGTCAGTGGTTAATTTGACAAGTTTTTCTCTCAGAATGTGGCCTCAGGCCTCTGATCCCAGGTTCAGCAGCAACCCTACGCAGCCTACAGCCACCAGAGGGCAGAGGAAGCTGCCAGGAGCTGCACACCCAGGCCAGCACTAACATGGTTCATTCCTTCTTCCCTGCCCCACCTTCTAGAGGCCACTACTTGTGTTCAGTGTATGGGGCACGGCTGATGGTACCAGCTGGCCGGGGGCTCATCGTGGTTATCTCCTCCACTGGGGGCCTACAGTATATGTTCAACGTCCCCTATGGCGTGGGCAAAGCTGCGGTGAGAACCTAGCGGCATAGGAGTTGGGGAGATATAAGACAGTGATGGTACCTATAACTCATGAGATAACAGTATTCAGAGGTCAGAATAGGTACCTCCCAGCTGTCTCCTTCACAGAGAGTGCCTATGCTTGGAGTAGGCATCACACTGGGGTGGGTGGGCAGCTGAAATCCCAGGGTTCCTGAGAAGGGGAGAGGGCTGGGGCACTCCCAGCAAAGCAGGAATGGGAGGGGAGGAAGGTTACATGGCCGGGTGCCCTGGCCTCCACCCCACCTTCTGTTTTCCACAGTGCGACAGGCTGGCTGCTGACTGTGCCCATGAGCTACGGTGCCACGGAGTCAGCTATGTGTCTCTGTGGCCAGGGTTAGTGCAGACAGAACTGCTGAAGGAGCATATGACCAAGGAGGAGGCCGAAAAGGATCCCCTGTATAAGCAGGTTCGTAATGGAGGGCAAGAACGCAGGGCAATCAGTCTCTGCATCCTCAATGACAAGACACTAACAACAAGAGCAAATACTCCTATTCACTAGGGTGTTTACTGTGTCAGGCACAGGGCTGAGCCCGGTACACTCATTATTTCCTTTAATCCTGTAAAGGAGATACTATCTTTATTTTATAGATAGCAAAACTGAAACCCAGAGAGGTTAAGAAACTTGTTCAAGTCTGGGCACAGTGACTCATGCCTATAATCCCAGCACTTTGGGAGGCTGAGGTGAAAGGATTGCCTGAGCCCACGGGTTCGAGACCAGCGTGGGCAACTTGGCAAGACCTCATCTCTACAATAAATCCAAAACTTAGCCGGGCATAGTGGTGCGTGCCTGTAGTTCCAGCTACTTGGAAGGCGGAGGCGGAAGAATCGCCAGAGCCCAGCAGGTTGAGGCTGCGGTGGCTGGGAGCATGCCAAGGACCTGGGCAAGAGAGTGAGACTCCAACTCAGAAAGAAAAAAAAAAGTATTCAAGGTCATATATGTCATAAGTAGAAAGGATGTCTGGCTCCAAAGCCCGTGCACTCGACCCCCATACTGAAGTAGCCCAGAAAGTCCAGACACTAGTTGGCACTACCAGATACTTCCACTTAGGAAAGGCAATGGGTCCTGGTGTCAGGGTACAGGGCTCACCTGGACTAGGGGAGGAGTGTCTCCAGCACCTGCCAAGACATTGGGTCTTGCAGGCCATGCACGAGGTCTTTCTCCTAGAACAGTAGTTGAAATGGGATGGAGAGACTTAGGCCCTGTGCTTGAAAATTAACTTTATATTTCTCTGCTCTGTGTTTCAGTTTAAACCACTTTTCTCATCTGCGGAAACCACAGAAATGAGTGGCAAATGTGTGGTGGCTCTGGCAACAGGTGAAGAGGTTGGAAGCAGCGGGCAACCAGGAAGGGCATGGAGGATCTGTAGGGTGGTGGCAACCAGTGCCCAGATCTGGTTCATGGGGTGATTGAAGAGTATACCCTTCTTTTCTCTGGCATTCTGAGACCCAGTGCTCAGGATTCCCAGTTTGAGGCTTGGAAGCTTTAGGAACTGCCTTCTAGGAAGTGTGGACAACAGTCAGAGGCCCAAGAGCCTTGCTAGGAACAGAAGAAACGATTCTCCAGGGCTTCCGAGTCTGTCTCAGTGGTGCCCTGACAAACGGGGCCCAAATCATGTCGCTCTGTGCACTCCCATGCATGAAATTTCCAACTGCCTGTGTGTCCACAGACCCCAATATCCTGAGCCTGAGTGGTAAGGTGCTGCCATCCTGTGACCTCGCTCGACGCTATGACCTTTGCGATGTGGATGGTAAGAGCTCTGACCTGGCAGCCAGTCTTAAAATGTTGTTCCTTCTGCTCCCTGCCCACTTCTTCTCTCTGTCTCCCCAGCCCTGGTTGGGGTGTCTGAAGAGTGGGAAATGGGATTCTAACTCTGCTCCTATTGTCCCCAGGCCGCCCAGTTCAAGACTATTTGTCTGCGAGCTCCGTTCTCTCACATGTCCCCAGCATGAGCTGGCTGGCCTCCTACTTGCCCGGCTTCCTCCGCATGCCCAAGTGGATTATTTCCCTCTATGCCAGCAAGTTCTGACCTCCCAGCCTGACGTTACAACTCTGCTTCTCTTCTCATTGGGCTGGGGTGATTGGGCCTATCTTGTGGAATAAAGCAGCATTTCTCACCCACCCATACCCTTGATATGAAGAGAAGGCCTCTACTGAGTGTCCATGGTGAGTTCTGGGGGCCCTCATAGGTCCTTCTTGTGCCTTTGTTTCCCTTGTCCCTACATTTTACTTTTTGCTTCAGTATTGGAAAATGATCTGGAGGCAAATAAATGGCTTTCTCCTTCAATGTGTTTTTGAGTGCTGATTCTGTGCTCAGCAGGGTGTGAAGGACTTGAGAGAAAGACACAAAGATGTACAAATATGAAGGTTCTCAGGACAAGGCGCCTTTCTTCCAGACCTGTTTCTGCTCTTCCCTACAGTGCCTGGTTCCTGTGCCCAGTTGGGGCACAGGGTCATTTCACAGCAAGAAGCAGGCATTTCACACTGCCACCTCTGCCCCATTGCACCATGTCTTCAGGGATGCCTGCTACCTTCTAGCTGGGCCTGACCTCTGGCTGAGGCCCAAGCCAGTGAGGGCAGATTCCTTGGCATTAATGATTTTCTGGAATTTGGGAGAAGACACTGCCTGAATCCAAGTGAGGGACAGTGGAATAGCCTTGTCCTGACACATTGTCATCCATCCTCTCACATGGTACCACCTGAATTGCTTTCAGCAGGAGTGACTGCACAAGCCGTATCGGGCTGCCCTGCTTGCTCATGGGGCCCTCCCAGCCTGAGACCAGGCCACAGGGGCTATATTCCCAAGAGGAGCCAAGGCATTGTGAGGGAACCTTCCAGCCAGCCGCCTAGATGACTAGCCAAGGTGATGAGATAACTGCTGTTAATCAGAAGAGCAAATATGGTTTCCCTTCTGTGAAACCTGCAGGGTGAAGCCAGAGGCTTTTCAAGGCTGCCCACTGGGCCTGCAGAGTCTGTGATCTTCCTGTAGCATTCTGGAGTCAGCTCCCAGTTACTGTTCCACGGGTGGGCAGGAGTGGCTCACTGGTTTGTAAAAGTTGCTGGTGTGCATCTCTTCCATGACTGCACTCAGGGACTTCATGAGGCTGCTTGAGATTAGACCTAATGAGAGTATATATACCACAAAAGTCCACAAATGCTACCATCCAAGGCTTTTTTTTTTTTTTCCTGAGAGAGAACTGGCTTATCAGTATGTGACTGGTATTAGGCCTCTGGAACTACATATCTAAACACCACCATTGGCTGAGGCACCCAATTAAGATCACAGTAATCATTTGCCACAGTCCCTGTCCATCACCTCCAGTCCCTGGTCATGCCCCACTGGCCTGGTCCATTTCTTCCACCAAGCCCTCCTCCCTGGGTCCTTCTGCCTATGCCTCCTCAGGCTTCCCATTCTTTCACTACTCTTCTTCCCTCCTCAGCTCCCCTCACATGTCTGTAGCCACTGGCCGCTCCACCAGAATCTCTGCTCTAACCCTATCTCCCAGTCAGCTGGTGCTTATTACAGCTGCCTCTGTGCCCAGGCCTTGGGGTGGATGGGTACAGGCAAGCCTCATAAGACAATGATCCAGTTCTCAAAGTGCTTCCAGTACTAGTCATGAAACTGGGTGGGCGGGGACTCAAAGGAGCAGAGCGATTGCCCCAACCAGGCTCCTCCACAGGGTGGACACAACCTTATTCTGTTCAGGTTTCCCCTTCCTGGGGGTGCTACAACATTCTTATCCCTGCCGCTGGTAAAGGTCACCTCTGTCCCAGCTCCTGTCTGTAGGCAACAAGCGCATCTTGCCCATCTCCTGAGTCCCTGCCTGAGTCCCTGACTGACACCCCTTCGTTCCCCCTCCACACACTCATTGGTGCCCCTGCCTGGGGTCATTCCAAGATCCTTACGGCCCCCAGTTTGAGCAATAGAGGGGTCAGGATTTACCAGATTGAGCAGGGCTAAACAGGGATGCAGACTGGACCTTCTGCCACGTGGTATCAAAGACAAGCAACCAGATGTTAGTTAAGGCAGTAAAAACAAGTTTTATTCAGTAAGATACTGATGTTAGGGGAAGGAGCTGAACTTCATTCTGATTTGTCCAGAGATCATTTGGGCATTTTGACGGGAGGAGGGAGGGGGTGAATGGGGCTTGATAGAGTCAGAGTAAATGGGTTGAGGCCAGCAGTCTCTAGCTGGCAGGTATCTAAGTTAGGGTTCTGTCCTCCCACAGAGACTGAGGACAGACGTTACTGTTATTGATGACTACATTTCAAAGGAAGGAGTTGCTGTTTCCAGTTGCAAGAGATACAACATAATTACAATTGTAAGCCCTTTTAGTGAGGAAGAGATACACACCAGCAACTTTTACAAACCAGTGAGCCACTCCTGCTCACCCCTGGAGCAGTAACTGGGAGCTGACTCCAGAATGCTACAGGAAGATCACAGATTCTGTAGACCCAGTGGGCAGCTCTGAGAGAGCTGTCATCAGGTATAGGCTAGAACAAACAAATTTTCCTGGATGTATTGCGCTTTCTCAAGCAGGCACTTTAAAGGGGGCTGGGGTTCGCGACCGCCTGGGCAGCAAGATCTCATCTCTACAATAAATCAAAAAATCAACTGGGTGTGGTAGTGCATGCCTGTAATTCCGGCTACTGGGAAGGCTGAGGTGGGAGGATCGCCGGAGCCCAGCAGGTCGAGGCTGCGGTGGCCGGGAGCGGCCACTGCACTCCAGTCTGGGCGACAGAGTGAGACTCCAACTCAAAAAAAAAAAAAAATGAGGCTGGGGTCATTCAAGAGATCATGGCTTGTGCAGCCAAAAGCCATGCTAGAGGTTGGTCAAGTCTCTTGGTGCAGAGATTTGGACAAACTTGCTCTGTGCTGAGAGTTCTGCAGTTCTCAGTGGGATGTACAACCTGCTGTCCATGATAACAGGGAATTTGGAGGAGACACTTCCTTACACCTTTGGAAATGGAGAAGCCTGCAAGGAGTGCTGGGAAGGAAGCAGAGGGAGGAAGTGGAGTCGGTTTTGTGTGATTTCTACTAGCAAGTACCAACATACATGCCCTATCAGCAAGTGAGGAGGTCTTGGTTACCCTGTCATTGTAGAAGTGATTCCATAAGAGAGAAAGCCAGGACACAGCCTGAGCATGCCTAGAGGGACTCATGAAGGAAGGAGCACAGGTGACTCAGCTTTGGCCTTTCACTGTCAATTTAACACTGCTAGAGACCCGTGTGCTTATAGGGACTCAGCGAATTTAGGTTTATTGGCACCTGCAATGCCCAAAGCACTCTACCTAGGTCTTACTTAAGCTTTCATCTGCCACATGAAGTACTCTTTTACATCTGAGGAAACTGGAGCTCAGAAAAGTTGAGTAACTTGTTCAGGATTGTAATTTTTACAGTGAAATGGTCTGTTTTGAGCCAAATCTGTGCAAGCTCTCTCCTCTACATCATGCTGCCTCTGCTGCCTGGTCTTTTGTTTTGTTTTGGCTTTGGAGTTGTTTTATTTTTGGCAAAGGGAAGGTTAGAAACTGGGCAGAATAGTGAAAGCATTCCCAAATTCACCCAACTCAAGCACCTTCTGGCCAAATTCAGTCTTGTCTTTCCCTAAACATGACTATACTTTTTTCCTCCATACCTTTGCTTGAGCTGTTCTATTTCTGGAGTCCTCCTCATTCCTCTATCATCCAGCCCCCTGACCTCATTTCTACCTACCATGATTCATCCCACCAGGCTCAGGCTCATCTTAACCTCCTGGAAAATTCTGGTTTCTTCTGCCCTTGCTCTTGCACTTTTCTGGGGAACCTCTTCCTATGACATTCACTTGGCTTTTTTTTGTTTTGTTTTTTGAGTTGGAGTCTCTATTGCCCAAGTTGGAGTGCAGTGGCATGCTCACAACCACCTCAGCCTTGACCTGCTGGACTCAGGTGATCCTTCCCCTCAGTCTCCCAAGTAGCTGGAATTACAGGAATGCTCCACCACACCTGGATAATTTTTTGATTTATTGTAGACATGAGGTCTCACCATGTTGCCCAGGCTAGTCTCAAACCCATGGGCTCAGGCAATCCTCTCACCTCAGCCTCCCAAAGTGCTGAGATTATAGGCGTGAGTCACTGCACCCGGCCTCACTTGGCTCTTGACTAGTGTTGAAACCATAGATGTCCTCATCCCTTCCTAAATAAAAATGACAGCTCCCCCGCCCCAAGGTCAGAGGACAGGTCTTGGACCCTTCATCCCCCTCTCCTTGGCTCCCCTCTTTCACCAACACAGAACCTTTGAGACCATTAGCACAGACCTGAAAAGTGTCTGGGGTATCCAAGCCACCCAGAGTGTGGCTGAGCTCACAGGCCCAGAGGGACCCATTGGTGAGGGCCCCATCCTCCTTCCTGGTGGTAGGTGGGCTGGGCCAGCCTATGGCAGTGTCTGTGTTCATAGCTGACTCTCTGAGGACTCACTGCTCTGTAGTATCTATGGGTCCTTGACCTAGGCCCCTTACGCCATAACTCAGCAGGCTCAGCATCCCCTGTTCAGGGACCCGGGTTTAGGAGAGGATTTCCCAACAGGGCTGCCAGCTGTGGGAGCCCTAGGCACCTCTGTGGGGTTACTCCAGGTCCTCCCTACCTCTACCTCCCCTCAGTGTCCTTTGCCAGACACAGAACTCAAGTCTGAGTCACAGCTGTGTGCACAGGAGATACAAGAACACAGCATTGTTCCCGTCAGCAATTCCAGGCATCCACCTTCTCTGTGCTGAATTCTGAGCTTTGGCACCACTCCCTGTCCACTCCCTTCTGGTGCCTGGAGGCCTGGCCTTGTGTGGCCACCCTGGACCAACCTCCCCACCTCACCTGTACTACCTACCTGCCCCAGGATCTAAGATCCACAACTCCTCCTCCTAATCTCCCACCCCAGCCCAGAGACTGCAGCCTGTTTTGCTCTGGCCTCCATAGCTCACCATTTATTCATTCACTCATTCACTCTTTCCCAGTCCTTCCCAGCTCATCTCAATTTCCTTAGAGGCACTTATGGTTCTCCCACATCATCTTTTGTGTGTATGTGCTCCTACAGGGTCTGGATCCCCAACTAGAATCTAAGCCCTGTGACAGCAGGAACCTTGTCTGTCTTGATTATTGTTATATATTGACCTATTCTGGTGTTCCTTAATTGTTGGCGGATGATCGGCTGGCTGAATTACACAAATGTTTGTTGAGTAACCACCATGGTGCAGGCACCTTGCTAGGCGAGAGGAAAAGCAGACATATATGTGTCCTTGGGTAGTTCACAGCAAGGGT